AACAACAACGGAAGCCCCATCACCAACGGGGAAAGTCAACAATCGTCAAACACCTCATCAATGCGAACGGCAAAGAGTCAACAGACAACATTAAATGGTTCAACGGAAACGGAAACCGACTGCTACGATAGCCTAGATGACAAGTTGTAAAGGACGAACGTTAAACCTTAAGCAAATCAATTTTTATACCAAAAAACATTTACCTTTACATAAATATACATACATTTATGACATATTTTATTTAAGAAGCAAAGAAAAACAAAATAAAAATTTTCATTTATGGTGCAACGATCTGGGTGTAGGGTGAAACGTAAGAGTATCTCGTTTTCATAGATAATATTCAATTGAACTTTTTTTAGACAGCGAACAATGTTTGCTCAATTCCTAGCTAAATAAAAATCACATACACATACACACACACACTTAACAAAGTTCCAATCTGTACATACAAGGCACGTACCTACGTTTGTTTGTATGTATGCATGCCTATTGTATATTGTATTTGATTACATATTTATTATCGATATTTGTTTGGTTATACAATTTCCCTTCTCATTTTTTTCAATATCGTATTGTATTTCGTTTGCAATCAATAAATTCATATCCTTTTAATATTAATTACCCGTATAAATAAATGTCGCGCATTCTTCATTGAATGGGTTCATCAACGTGGTTTTTATGGCGTGTGAAATTTATTTATTTTTTGCAGCTGGTGTTTTGTGTAATTACCGTTAGCTTATTATGTTCATTATCCTTTATTTTGTTTTAATTTAAGGGTCAGTGTTTAAACCTTGGCGACAACTCAAGGATGTAGTGGAGAATTTCCACAATGAACAATCTTGAAATTTAAATTTTTATATCCTCCGCCGTGTGTATAGTAAACGAATTGACAAACTCAATATAGAGTTTGTCATTTCGTTTTAAACACCTCGTAGTATAAATATAGACAATACAAAGTATCTTTAAAACGTGAGATAAAAAACTGCAAAAATGTCAAGCGCAACAATTTTTAATTTTTTTTTTAAATTTATTAAAAATATCGGAAATAGCATCAAATTTTAGAATACGTTTAGAATTGTTCGAATTGGTCACCTTTGGCACGAATTATGGCCTTCAACGGCCAATGAACCCGTCACACCCTGCCCGAATGTTGCTCTGCGGTATTTTGGACCATTCCCGGCGAAGCGCTTGCTTGGGGTGATCGACACTTTGGTATTTTTTAGTGCCAACTTTGCTTTCCAAAACACTCCGGAGATGTATTTTGGCCGGAGATTTTGGTGCCCTGGAAATGAAGCGAGGAACCTCATTTTGTAACCATTCTTGATTTGCGATGGTACTGGATCCAGTTGGAATGTCCAAGGTCTGTGGCAAAAATGTTTGCATGCCCAAGGCTTTAATACACCCTCCAGAATATTTCGCGATAATATTCGGCATTTATTCTGATGCCACGGTCGATTAATACGAGCGGAGAGCGAATATCGGCTGTTATGGCGGCCCACACAATCACCATGGCCGGCGCTTGACTTCTGGTGGCCAACCGAAGGTGCACATTTTCAGCCGACCTCATTGGCAAGTAAACACGATCATTTTCTTTGTTTACGAATTGCTGGACAACGAATGTTTTCTCATCGGACCACCAACCAAATTCGGCAGTTCACCACTTTCGGCCAAGCGAAGCAACGTTTTAGCTCTTTTGAGTCTATTTTATCTGTTGCGGTGTATCTTCTTGTACTTTTTGGAATTTTAATGGCTTTATCCCGATGTCATTTTTTAATATTCGCCGAATGGAATATTGCGATATGGTCAGCTCACGAGCCATTTTTCGGCCACTGCGACGCAGGTTTCGATAAGTCGCTTCCTTACTTTCCGAACCATTTCTGCTGATGTTGCTGTTTTATTCCGTTCACTTCCCTGACGTCGGGCTACGCTACCACTGTCACGGTAACGAGCTATGGTACGAGACACAAAAGAGTTATTCACATTTAAATGCTGGAGTGCTCTTACGGTAGCCACTTGTGATTTTCCAGCCAAATATAAAGAAATCACACTATCACGCTTGAAACAGCATTATGAGCTGTCACTGGAATAATTACAACAGCTGTCGGACGAGTGGCTTAGAAATGACAGCAGTCTGAAATTGTTTGCAGTTTTTTCATCCCAACCTGTATATCCTTTGTCAGCATTAAATTCTATGTCGATTTAGCGATGTCCGTTTGTCTGTCTATGGAAATCGCTCCAGCTTCCGACGAAATGTATTTTATGCCTACAGTGCTTTTGAAATAGGTTTTGGTATAGCCCCCATATAACTATACCATCAGATTTAAGGTGTTTTGGTGGTTTTTGTCGCAATTTTAACCCGAATTTGCTGTAAATTTGCAGTTTGTGTTCCCAACCCTTAACATGAAACTGTCTATATAGGTCCAAGTTTTGGTATAATTTCCATGTAACTCCAGATATTCGGTATTTTAAGGAAATTAGCTACACTTTTCATCTCAATTATCTCAAACTTGGTACTTGGATTTCGTAATGCATTCCACCGCCTATAACAGAAATTTGTCATACAGGTCCACATCTTCGTATAGCCCTCATATAATGGTATTTTTGGTATTTTAAAGATTTTAGCTACATTTTTCAACAGAATCAACAAAAATTTGCTATTTGCAGTTCATTATGGACGCCAACTTCTATGGCTGTATAGGTTTTCGTATTGTCCCATATAATTGTACCTTCAGATAATCGATATTTTAATGATTTAACACTTTTCAGGGGAATAGTTTCAAATTTGTTATTTGGAGTGTATAATTCACAACTTTGTAAAGGTCCCATATAACGGTACCTCCCGTTATTCGATATTCTGATGATTTTAGCAAGGTTTTTAATTTAATAATCTTAAAATTGGGCACCACCAACTCTGGCAGATATTTGGCCGTAAAGGTCCAGGTTTTCGTATAGCCACATATAACTGTAAACCCTGATGTTCGGAAATGGTGGAGGACACAGAGTGTATATAACATTTGATACGGCCAAAATGAGCATCATCGAAATAATGGTTTAAGACCCTAGGTCCCTTTGGACCAAATCCATTGGGAGTCAAACTGGGGTGTCAGTCCGTCCGTCTGTCTGGCCGGTGTGCACGATACTCTCGAAGGGAATACCCGATTTGATCCTAACTTGGTACATCGTAATATTATTGTGATACTGAAATCGAGTTCGGAGATGGACACAAACGGTCCACTCTCTTCCCCTCAAAAAGTCCGCATTTTCACATGATACAGAATCTTATAGAACAAGATAGAATCCTTTAAATTTGTGCAAACTTTGCAAATCCTAATATTTCCATCAGTTTTAGGTCAAGTGCGACAATGGCCAATATCGGCCCACTCCATCAAGTACCTCGCCCTCAGAGCCCGATTGTCTTCAACTTTCAAACATTCCAATATCTCTACCAACACAAGATGTGGTACAAAGAATGGACACCAAGTATCAACATTTTAAGTGACCATGAACCTCATAAAACGCGACATGAGCATCCGATTAATTTCAAACTCGGCACATTTTAATATCTCTGTCAACATAAGATGGTGTGAAAATACAATACGTCGGACCAGTAATTCTTGTACCTCCCCTACAAAGGTCACAATTTTCAATACTTATATATCTCAAAACTTGTCAGCGATTCTATTCAAACGATGGATGCTTCGGTCAAGTCTATTTGGTAAAAAATCCGGTGAATAATGTAGCTAAAATCATCAAAACACCGAATATAGGGAGATACATTTATATCGAGCCTATACGAAGACATGGATTTGCATAGACAATCTCTGTCACATGCTGTAGAACCTGTTAGAAACTTCAAATACAAAATTTCAAACAATTTCGGTGAAACTTGGGCATAAAATCGTCAAAATACTGTTATATATCAGAGCCTATAACAAGACCTGGTCCTGCATAGAAAATTTTCTGATATAGGCTGTAGTTCCCATTACGAACTCTAAATACGAAATTTGAAACAACTCCGGTGAATAGTGTCCTTAAAAATATCAAATATCGAATATCGGGGGTTACCGTTGTATGTGGGCTATACGATATCGTGCTCCTATATTGACAATATTCTTCCAGGGAGTAAAGTGCTTAGAAAAACCTTCTAGTATGATTTTTTTAGACAATTCCATTGAAAAATGTAGCTAAAATCATCAAAATACCGAATATAGGGAGGTACCGTTGAATAGGGAATATTGGATATCGTGGACCTATAAATGCAATACTCTTCAGGGGGAAAAGTACTCAGAAGGAACTCCTTTCGTGGATTTTCAGACAAATTCATTGAAAAATGTGGCTACCATCATCAAAACACCGAATATCGGGTGGTACCGTTATATGGGGGCTATACGATATCGTGGATAGCCCATCTTCGAACCTGCCTGCAGACAAAAGACTGATCTGTTCAAAATTTTAGCTCCCTATGTTTATTCTTTTTGACTCTAGCATGATTACAACAGACGGACAGACGGACGGACAGGACTAAATCGTCTTGGAATTTTACGCTGATCAAGAATATATATACTTTTTTATGTCTACAATTATTATTTCGTCAAACTGAATGACGAACTTAATATACCCTCCATATTATATATGGTGTAGGGTGTGAAAATCGAAAAGAAAGTAATTTTAAAATAAGCCCAAACGATCGACAATAGCCATATAAATTATGTTGAATTAATTTATTTCATTTTTGAAATTCCCAAGACCATCATCGTTTTAAATGTTAGCGCCGAATAAAATAAAAATGAATCTCTTCTCTTGTTGTCTATTTCAAAACTACAACAAACACATGTATCGTCTGTTCGCACCAATTTCATATAATGCCTCAATTTATACTCAACCGAAATGTGAAAATGTTTAAAACACTAGTCATAAGTCCTTAAAAACATTTGCCACAACTCCATTACAGCTGTCAGTAAGTTCTGTTATTTCGAAGAAGACTTACAGTTTGAACTTACCTGAGTTTGAGTCTTCACTGGTGTTTGTGCAATAACTTTGTCGTCCTCCAAAGTTCCATGAGTTCTGAAACGAAAAAATGAAATAAAAAGAAAACAAATGTTAAATATGTTGAAAAACGATATAAGCCTGGGAACATGTGCACGGGAATGGCTTGATATGTTTTGGTGTGAGTATTAGTGTGTGTGTGTGATATTACAAAACAAAAGTTACATCTCTCTCAAATGGTTTCAATACAACCATGGTGCACATATCTAATGGTCACGTTGTGAGAACTATACACAAACTTACAAACCAATAATCCAATCGTGTCAGACATTTGGCGATAGACAGAGACATGACTACGGCCATGGACATTCGTCTATTCAGCAGGGAAGAAACCATTTACAAGAAAGTGGAAACATAAAATGATGAAATATTGATGGTGAAAAAAGTTTTTTTCTCAAATCGAAATATTTTCCGATGAATTGAAGGAGAAAAGAAAAACAAGAAATCAATAACTTGAGACATAATGTAATGGGGAACATCAACAAAACGAGCCTTATGTATGGAAGAAAAGAGAAGGTATAGGAGAAAATAAAAAAATGGCTAACACAAACAACATCCTGACCAATATAAATTTAGACATTATAACGACTAAGCTCTAAACTGTATTCCAGAAAATTTTTAAACGTTCTGCAGCTTCTATATTTTATTTCTGAGAAAGAAATCCTTGTAATATCAATTTATGTGAACATATTTCTTGATTAAAAAAATAAAAAGTTACAAAATATCAGTCGGCTTTGCCGACAGATGTATACCCTCAGCCAATGCTCGATTATTCAAATATATTTTGTCTTCTGTTATGATTATCCGAATTGTTTACCCTCGTGTGTGGTACCGGAAATAGTCTACCGAAGTACTCAATTTTATATACCAACATGTCTATGTCGATTTACCGATATCCGTCTGTCTGTCCGTATGTGGAAATCACTCTATCTTGCGAACGAAATGAAGTAATTTAATAAAATTTTACTCAAATGTATATGTCTGCAGGACTTTTGGTATTGAAAATGGGCCATGTAGGTCCCCTTTTTAGTATAGCCCCCATAGCGGTACCTTCCCGATATTCGGTATTTTGATGATTTTAGCGACATTATTCACCGGAATTGTTTCAAATTTGGTATTTGGAATTTCGTGTAGCCAGGTTTCTGGATGAGAGAAATATTTTGATATAACAAGTTAAAAAATCTCGATGACTTCTTTCACAAGTTATGACAGATAAAACTATTGAAAATTGTGAGCCCTTTGGGTTCGCAAAAATGTGTTTATAAAATTAAAGGGTTTTGTTTTTCAAAATCTTTAACTCTGTGTGGGGGAGGTACCAGAAGAAATTGTCAGATATCTACCATCTTTATAGCAGATCTTGTGTTGATGGAAATATTGAGATGTACCAAGTCTGAGTGGAATCGGATGTTAATTTTGCGTTTTATGAGCTTCATGGATATTCATAATTTTGACCCTTTGTGTGGGAGGTACCAGAAGAAGGGGACCGATATATTCCATCTTCACACCAGACCATGGGTTAACAAAAATATTGTAATATGTGTAATTTGAAGACAATCGGAATATTATTATAATTTTTACATATAATTTTTCTAAATTTTGGCCCTTTGTGTGTCCGTCAAGTACGGAGTGTATCGATATTGTCCATTTTCGCAACTGACCTAGCACTGATACAAATATTAGGATGTGCAAAGTTTGGGTCAAGTCAGATTATCCTTTCTCTTTCCGTGCAGTAAAATATATATATATATATATATATATATATATATATATATATATATATATATATATATATATATATATATATATATATTGTATATATATATATATATATATATATATATATATATATATATATATTTTTTTTTTTTTTTTTTTTTTTTTGAAAATTTCGACCTCTTGAGGGGAAGGTACCAGTTTAGACCAAATCGGATGCTCCATTCGAGATTTATCGTGCGTACCAGCCAGAAAGAGAGACCGAAATCGTTAGATCGACTCCAAATGTCCTGAAACGGATTTGGTCGAAAGAGACCTTAGTTTTAAAACCGCTATTTCGATTAGGTACGTTTTCAAATGTGGCCATACAGCTTAAGCAAGAAAAATATCAGTTAAATTCAGCTTGGCCGAACTTTTAATGCTCCTCAAAGTATCAAATGTTGGGAGGAGTTCCGTTTCTTGGGAGTTGTTCCAAAATGCCGACCTCCATATATATTTGCTCTAAAAGAAACTGCCAAAAACCAAATTTGAAACAATTCCGTTCGACATTGTGACCTTAATGATCCAACTAGCATGTATCGGTAGGAAATCGAGGACCGACATGGTTCAATTACATATATGATTTGCCTACTACAATATACCTATAGGTACAGAATTGTGTCCTCTGTTCCAATTCTTTCGAAAGATAGCGTTATTGCAACACACAGTCACACTGTCATTGCTAAATGTATGGTCAACCATGGTTATTTCGAGAAGTTACCAACGGAATGACCAGAACCTATGTGAGGAAACACACTTTTCACAATAACGTTTAAAGAAATAGAATATAAATTAAATGGTAAAATTTGTATATCTTCCACCCTACGAAAAGGGTATATGATATGATTAATTTGGAATTTATATTCTATTTTTTCGATTCCACATATAATTTGTGGTTGGTCTGTAAAGACGGAGTTCAGCTCGTCTTGAACTTGACAAAAAATCAAACTTTCTTGAAACAGAATTAAATGGTTGTACTATAGTGAAACGACAGTTCTCGTGTATGCCAAATCTTGAACATCCAACCATGTCAAACATATCTCGCTTTCATGTTTCATCATTCCGTATTGTAGCCATTAAGTCATACTTTTTTTCTGCTTCCTTTCTTTGCAATTCTATTCGAAGTTCATTTCCTCTTTTACCGCCGTGCAAGCTATTTTTTTCCATAATTGGAAATATACAACGAATAACAAATGGTCCTTACAAATAACATCGATTGTATTCAATTATGTTGGAAAGGATGTAACAAGCATGAAAACGCTCTTATGCTCATTCTCATTTACACGAACACACACGTTTGCTGCCGACAATCCGATAACATCCTTTCGTCAGAACAACAAGAGAGGAATCGTTCAGTTTAGTTCAGAAACGGCAGTTTGGCAACACAACAATGCCATTTGATTTTGTAATGGTACGAAACTTGTCGAAGTTGTAAAAGACGGAGAACAAATCAAGATATTTGTTTGGAATGGCTGTAGAAGATATAAATTCCAGATGTTGTGTATTTTGGTTTTCGGAATTTTTCACTTGGCTATGGGTGGATGGATGTTTGTGTCGAAGGATTTTTGTGTAAAAGATTGCAGAGTTGATGACTACATGTATTTGTTTCGATTACATCGTTGTGTAATTTATTGTAAAAGGCTGTAATGATAAATAATGTTCGCGATGGTTTTTACAACGTGATTCCATAATATCTAATAAATTTTTCCGAAAAAATAGATTAAAAAAGCTGCACATAATTCCAGAAAAAAATAATCTAATATCTTGAGATGTTATTTTTAATTAAAAAAAAAAACTTCATAGATTTTAGTTCAAAAAAAAAAAAAAAATACTCCAATAGTACGAGCTTTGAGGCAAAGTCTAAAATACATATTCAACATTTTGCGTTTTTTTTTTAATGCAAGCAAAAATTGTCGGAGATAAGATCAAATTTTAGAACAAGTTTAGATTTGAACGAATTGACCACCTTTGGCACGAATTATGGCCTTCAAATGGCCAATGAAACCGTCACACGCTGTCCGAATGTTGCTCTGCGGTATTTTGGCCCATTCACGGTGAAGCGCTTGCTTGAAGTGATCGACACTTTGGTATTTTTTAGTGCCAACCAAAATACTCCAGACACATTAGTCCAACGGATTGGTATCCAGAGCTTTGGTGGCCATTTTGCGCTGGAAATGAAGCGAGGAACCTCATTTTGTAACCATTCTTGGGTGGCTAACCGAAGGTGCACATTTTCAGCTGACCTCTTTGGCAAGTAAACACGATCATTTTGTTTGTTTACAAGCTGCTGGACAACGAATGTTTTCTCATCGGAGAAAACCAAATTCGGCAGTTCACCACTTTCGGCCAAGTGAAGCAACTTTTTAGCTCTTCTGAGTCTATTTTCTTTCTGTTGCGGTGTAAGTTCTTGCACTTCTTGGAATTTCAATGGCTTTACCCCGAGGTCATTTTTCAATATTTGCCGAATGGAATATTGCGAGATGTTCAGCTCACGAGCCATTTTTCGTTTCTTTACTTTTTGAACCATTTCTCCTGATGTTGCTGTTTTCTTCCGTCCGCCACCTTGACGTAGGGCTACGCTACCAGTATCACGGTAAGGAGCGATGGTACGAGACACAAAAAAGATTTATTCACATTTAAATGCTGGAGTGCTTTAACGATAGCCACTTGTGCTTTTCCAGCCAAATATAAAGAAATCACATTATCACGCTTGAATCACGAATAACTTTTTTTCTGGAAAATTCTCACCAAAATGCTTTTGCTTGTAAACAATAGAATGAGCTGTCACTGAAATAATTTTAACAGCTGTCGGACGAGTGGCTTAGAAATGACAGCATTCTAAAGTTGGTTGCAGGTTTTTAATCTCACCCTGTATAATAGAAATTTGAGCATGTAGTAGATTTAATTTATGACCGCCTTAGTTAACATTCTTCACATTGTTTCTTCGTCCCTAACAAGGCAAAATTCAAAATGAAATAACTGTTTGTTGATGCTTCAAAAAAAAAAAAAACCCTGTGACAAGAAATATGCCACATCCACATGATTAGCGGAGAGACTTGTTGGTTAATACTTGGCATATCATTGAGGACTATTCAGTTTATGGCTAAACCAGATAATTACTTACATACATATTCATGTTTTCTGGTCCACGAGCACTCTTCAGAATCAACGAGAAGATGATATCGAAAAAAATACAATTGTGACTACACATACATACTCACATACACAAACATACATACAGACCACTCTTTTGTATCAAAGTTAAA